TTACTCTGCCATCTTAGCTGATCTTTGTCTATTATCCCCATTTTACAGATGAGGGAACTGAGGTAAACAGATGAAGTGACTCTTCCAGAATCATGCAGCTACAGGCACAGATCAGTTCCTGAGGAAGGGTTTGAGCTTACTACCTACCTGCCTCTTAAAAGCCAAACAGGAGAGTTGACATTTTGTCCCATAGGCACCAGAAAGCCACTGGAGTTGATTGGCCATTCTGATCCCATGACCTGCTAAGGTCACAAAACTAGTAAGTGGTCAACCTGGAGCCTGAATCCAGTTTTCTTTTCCTACTATTGTGACATGGCATGTTCATCCCATCCTTTCTGGACCGAGGACTGCAGTGTCAGACTGTGTTTGTCTCAAATGAAGGTGTCCTCAGGAAACACCAACGTCTTTTTGCCAGATGCTTACAGCTGCTCAGAAGGCAGATGACTCTTGGCCATTAGCAGGATCAGCCTGTGGCCAGTAATGAAAATGTCTTTTGTGAGAAGGCACTGGGTGGATCTGGCCTCAGTGGAGATTATTAGCTAGGACTGTCCCCTGAAGCAAATGGAAGCTCTTCATAGAATGAGGGTGTACGGGCCTGTGGCATCTGGGCTGCAAGATTATCAGGAATGGAATCAAAAGAGCAGCTACCGTACCTGCGAAGGCAGTGGGGTGGGACACTGGGTGGGGAACAGTGTGGATTTATGTTGGGGGGAGTGGGGGATGGTTAGAACTAGTTCCAGAAAGGGAACATCTCTCTACATGAAGTTTTTGCCTCTATTCCTAATCAAATAGAGGCTGAACAATGTTGTCAAATGAGATAACATAAAGGGTGGCCCTGGGGTCAGGAAAAACAGTTCAAATCCAGCCTCAGTCATTTACTTGTGGTATGACCCTGGTGAAATCTGCCTCAGTTTTCTCACCCATAAAATGGAGATGAGAATAATAGAATTTGAAGATCAAATGAGATATTTTTAAAGTGCTTTGCAAACCTTAAAACACTATATAAATGCCAACTTGTTAATACTATTGTCAGGATAGTAAGAGAGGGGGAAGAATTCATTCCTTAGGGAAGGGTTTAGACCAGATGCCTTCTGAGATTCCTTCCAGATCCAAGGTTTTAGAATTCTATGCCCTGAGTAGATGGTCCTGGCTACCCACTCTCCTGTTCTCCCCCCCCCTCCCCCTCAGTTGTCCCTGAGCAGACAGCCCTGTCTTCAACCTTCTGCGCCCTACTGCCTGGAGTCCTGGCCCCCACATGGTTTAGGTCAAACAGCTGTTGGGATGAATGTTGGCCTTTGTAAGATGTGCTTGTGGGAAATATGAAAGAGGTTTATGTTGGGTCCATTGAGTTTCCAACTGCCTGGCATGATAGGGAAAGACACTAGAGCTGTAAACATCCAGGGGGACACAGGCCCGACACCCCCCCCCCCGCCCCACTAGAAAGCCTCTGCTGCCTTGACTCACAAGCAAGCTGGTGTTTCTTCTCCCAAAGTATCCAATGATGGTGAAATTCAGCCATTCCCCAGCCCAGCCTATTTCTCTGGTAGTGCCCACCCCTGAGCTGAAACACTGTTAGACTTGGTGGTAAACAGACAAAAAGTGTTCTGCAAGAAGGTAGAGGAATGAGTTCCACAGTCATTTTGCTGGGGCCTTCCCACAGGTCCATCTACTGACCACTGCCCCTCCCTAGGGCTGCCTGGGTCTTTGCTGAAAAGAAATTTGAGGAGAACTTGCCAGAGAGCACCTCTCTTGTTACTGAGGAGCATTAACCCAATCAGATAGGGGACCAGAGGAGCTTTGAAACAGTCCAGGGGTGAGCTGGAGGCAGAGAGGGCCAGGCTGGGGGGGAAGGCCCTTTCTGCAACCCTCCCCTCAGCCCTGAAAAACCAGCCAGAAGAAAGGAGCTGAAAAGGCTGGGAAGGGGCCACTCTTGAATGCCACTGGGCCTCCTGCTGAGACTTTGCTGGGAGGGGGAGGCTCCACAGGGTTCAGTTTCTGCAGCCTGGCCAGACTAAGAGCCATTCTAGGCATTAAAAAGAGCGGCCCCATTCATTCGGCAAATATTTATTTCATAGTCACAATGTGTTAGGGCCCTGGGAAACAAAACCAGCAACACTGCTTTCCCTCAATAAACCTACATTCTCTTTGGAGAGGGATACCACAGATACTTTGTTGTTAGTCATTCAGTCGTTTCAGTTTCCAGTCCAACTCTTCGTGACCCCATTTGGGGTTTTCTTGGTGGAGATACTGGAATAGTTTGCCATTTCCTTCTCCAGCTCATTTTACAGATGAGAAAACTGAGGCAGATGGAGTGATGTGACCTGCCCAGGTTCACACATCTACTAAGTGTTCATATTTGAATTCAAGTCTTTCTGACTCCAATCCAGTGCTCTATTGACTGAGCCATCTAGCTGCCTCCCACATATACAAATCAGTATAATAGAGGTAGAATGTAAGGTCCTTGAGGGCAAAGACTTTGTCTCTTTTATGTCAATCAAAAATTTTTTTAAAGTGCCTGCTATGTGCCATGCTCTGTGCTAAGGACTGGGGCTACAAATCAAATAAAAACAAAGACTGCCCCTGCCCTCAAAGAATTTACAATCTAATGGAGGAAGAAGACACACAAAAGGATGCTGAAAAGGGGGGGAAGGCAAGCCATCAAGGGGGGCTATTATGGAGAATTCCAAAGATGTGTGGTGGGAAATAGGGAGAAAAATTGTACTGAGCCTCCTCTTTAAAGAGAGGCCCTGGAGCCCATAGCCCTGCTCTTCCAGTCAAAGGGTACTGAAAAGATGTGAGAACCAGGCAAATTCAATCTTGCTGAATAATGAGATTTCCCAAAGACAAGTTTCCTGGGAAAGGAGGGTGTGATGGAGAATTCCAAAGAACTTTCATCTTTGTATCTGAAAAGCCTAGCAAAGTGCTTGGTGCGTGGTAGACGTTAAGAAATTCATGTTGAATGTCGGGATACAGGCAAATGGGAGGTACTCTGGGAAAAACTGAGGGGAGGGAACACTTGTTCCTGTCCTATGTGCGTTCTCTCATTTCCCTGGCTCTGGGTAAGTCTGGTCTAGGCTCAGACCCTAACTGCGGGCCTCTTACTGAGAAGTCAATTGAGACTCCTTTGGGTCTCAACTAGAGAACTGAGGAAGTAGGATGGTTTGGAACCCTCCTAATAGAAGTAGCATGGCACACTGGAGAGAATGCAGGATTTGTAATCAACCGTCACTACCAGTGGGACCCTGGGTCAATCACATCTCTTTTCTGGGCGTCCATTTCTTCATAACGTGAGGGGTCTGGATCGGGTGGCCAAGGCCCTTCCAACTTTCAATTTGTGAACCAGAGAAACAAGGAGGTAGAATATGTTGGCCATTATATTAAGCAGAGAGATGAAGTGGGAAGATTTTGAAATCATTCTAATGGAGGTAATAAGGAAGTTGTCTGCTGAGAGTTACAATTCTACACCTTCAACTCAGCACTTCAAGCTCCTGCTGGGAGACCCAGGGCTTCTTACTGGTGAGCATTCATGCTACCAAGTTAAAACGCAGACTCATCTTCATAAATTTCTTCCCTCTTCTCTCCTCACCTCTGCTCCCCTCCTCTTTCTTTCCCTTCCTGACCTTTTGTTCTCCAACAACTTCTAACTTTGGCTCAGAAAACTGTAATCAAATCAGTACTACTCAAAATTCTAGTATATGTTATCTTCCCCTATTAGAATGCAAAGCCCTTGAAGGCAGGGACTATCTGGCTTGCTAGAGTTTCTATCCCCAGTATTTAGTAATCTGGCACCTAATCTGCATTTAATCTGTAATTTCATTCATTCCGGTAAAACAGCTTGGTCTTCATTTCTTGGTAATTTCAACTGGAGAAATGAGGAAGCAGGATGGACTCACTGTAAGCATCATCCTTCTAGAGCACTAGAAGAGGTGGGATGGTTTCTGACTCTTGTAAAACAGGCTGGCTGCCCACCTCCTCTTTCCCCTGCTCGCAGCCCTAACAGAACCTCCAGTTCCCCTCACTGCTCAGCTCACAGATCAGCTCCTGACTTAGTTCCTTGATCTCTGGCTTGTTTGGAAGGCCAAAATGAAAACAAGTCAGATTTGCCCAGGGCTAGACTCTGTCTAGGTAGACTCACCTTTGGAGCCTTTGAATTTGGAGGTTGGAACTGGGGAGAACCCTCATGCCAAAGAGGCTGTCAAGTGGGAAATCCTGAGGAGGGGAGGAGGAGAGAGATGGAACTAGATGAGAGGTAGTATGGAAGAGTGTAAAGAGCTCTGGACTTGGGATTCAGAGGTCTGGGGTTCAAATGATGACTTTGGACAAGTCACTTGACTTCTTTGGGAGGTATAGTGGCACTGAGTTATCCCGGTAGTATATATTGGAGAGAAATGGTGAAGAGGCAGAGTGGGTAATGGCATCTCTGAGACCCCTCTTTGGCTCAAATCCCCCAAGGAAAGCCTGGGCCACAGGAGTCCCAACCATTCAAGGCAAAATGGCCCCAAGAAAGAGGAAGGGAGCTGCCTTGTTTATTGCAACTTTTCTGCTTTTTCCCTGTCTCCTTTCTTCTCCTGAGTCAGAGGGGGCCAAATGGATGGGATGGTCTTTCAGAGCCTGGAGGACCCCAGGATGGTTGGTTCTGAACCCAGAGCTGCCCGAGAAGAAAAGAGCCCCGAGTCCTGCCACCCTCCTTCACGGAGGGTCATCTCTCGCCCCATGTAGGAATGCGTTTGACCGGCGGCAGGGAAAGGGGGTGGTGGTGGTTATCCAGTCCCTGCCTGGACCCCTGCAAAGAGTTGAGGATCACCTCCGAGGCTGCCCATTTCATTGTTGGACTATTCCGATGGCCACAAGGGATAAGACTGCAGCCCCCTCTCCCGTGTGTCGGACGGGAATGGGGAAAAAGAGGGTCTGAAGACAGCTCGTCTGGTTTGGGACCCGGGGGTCCCAGGTTCTAGTCACTGTGTGTGATCTTGTGCCAAGCGCTTTCCCCTCTCTTGGCCTCAGTTTCCCCGTCGGAAAAGGGGGCTTCTAAGGGTAGTGGCAGTAGCTAGTTTGTGTACGGGTCGCCACCCTCCACTTTGGGGAGCATACAGGCGGGGCAGGGGGCGGGGCAGGGGGCGGAGCCTGCGCCTTCCCTCTTCCTTCTCCCCCAGCTGCTCTTCCTTCGCGGTGCTGCCCACCCTGCTCTTCCTACCACCCTCACCCCCACCTCCTGCCCCAGCGGCCCGCAGGGCACCTCCCCCCCTCCTCTTCCCCCTCGGTGCTGGCCACCCTCCTCCCCCCGCCCCGAGACAGCCGGCGGGGCCCCTCCCCTCCTCCTCCTCCTCGTCCTCCTCTCCCCTCCCTGCCGCTGTGGGTGACGTGCGCGCCAGGCAGGCGGGCAAGCGGGCAGGAGCCGGGCGAGGGTCCCCCGCGGGCCCGGCGGCGGGGGCAGCGGGCAGGCATGGCGCCGGGGCCCGGGCCGGAGCCCATGCCGGGCTACGCGCAGCTGCTGCAGCGGAGCTACCGGAGCCTGCTGGACGCGGCGCGGGGCTGTGCGGACTGTGGCTGGGAGCGGAGCCGCCGGAGCTGGGCCCAGCACGCGCACCTGGCCGCCGCCGAGCTGCTGCTGCTGCTGCTGGCCGGCCTCGCCTGGACCGCGCTGCGCCAAGCCGCCGCCGCCCGCCTCTTTCGGGTCAGTGGCGACAGCGGGGAGGGGAGGGGGCGCGGGCCGGGCCGGGCAGCGGGGAGGGGAGGGCAGGAGAGGGGGCGCCGGCCGGACAGCGGGGAGGGGAGGGGGCGTAGGCCAGGCCCAGGAGCGGGTAAGGCCGGTGGGAGTTGGGGCTCAGGCCGGACGGGGAACGGTTTGCCCCAGGAAGGGGGCTTGGGCGTGAGCTGGGAGCCCGGGCCGGGTGGGGAGGGGGCTGCCGGGCCTGAGGGGCGCGGCCCAGGCCTGGCCGAGGAGGGGGCTGCCGTGGCGTGAGGGGCGGGGCTCAGGCCAAGCCGGGAGGGGGCTGCGGGGGGAGGAGGCTGCTATGTGCGCAGGTGCAGGCACCCCCGGGGCGGGGGTAGACGGAGGACAGACGCGGGGGCGGGGGAGAGAGAAGGCGACTCGGGGATTGAGCGAGGAGAAGCCCTGGACATGTGGCTCCCCGTGTGCGCTGGGGACGGGGAGAGGAGAGGAGAGGGTCACGTGACCGGGGGGGCACGCTTGGCCAGACCGGGCTGTGCTGCGGCCCGGAATGGGAGCCGGGTCTGGCCTGTGTGGGAAGGGCCCGAGGGAAGAGGGAGAATCGTAGGGATGGGGCCGGGCTGGAGAGCAGCGAGTGGGGGCCCCCGCCCTGCGGCGCCCTCTGAAGGTGACTGCTGGAGCTCCGGCGGGTGGGCCGGTGTCAGGTGCTTCCCCGAGGTCAGACCCAAGACGCGGGCGCCGACCCTCCCTTGCTTGCAGTGGACTGGGAGGAGTGCAGGCCTCCTCATCCCTGTGACCTGTCGCCCAGCCCTTTGGTGTTGAGCTAGAGGGAGCGAGACTGGGCTTCCTCCCTCCTAGGTCTGCTGGAGGGGCTGGAGAAGGGTGTACGAGCTAGGCAGGCCCCTTCATGGGGCAGACTCCAGGCCCTGAACCATCCCACAGCCCCCTGGGTCTTGGCTCTTAGTGTAGAGAGATTTACACCCCTCTACCACCCCCGCCCCCCGCCCCCCTACTGTCTAGGGGCTTGGCAGGAACCAGCCTGGGAAACAGCATGGGGGGAGGCGCTAGGGCATACAGTGACCCTAACAATGGGGCCATTCTCTACCAGGGAAGAAACTGTCCCTTGTGTTCCCAGGACATGGGACATAGTGTCAGCTTGCTAGGAGGACCCCCTGGGAAGGGGTCCTTGTTCTGACTCAGTAAGCCCTGAGTCAGACCCCACACCCCCTCCTCTTCCTAGCTTGGGTCTGGCTGCAGCCTTCTTTCTTAGCTCCATACATACATAGGCTCAGGCGGAGAAAACGATAATTTCAGGGCACCCAGGCCACCTTCTCCCTTCCTGAACAGGAATACCCCCTCTACCACTACTCATCTAGATTCTACTTGGAAGCCTTCAGGGATGGGGAACCTCCTAAGGCAGCCCCCATCTATTTGGGGGAAGCTTTCAGTGTTGGGAATGTTTCTCTTTATGTTTGCAACTTGCACCCCTAACCTGTGTGGCTGAGTAGAACAGGTCTAATCCATTTCTGTTGTATTTGAAGGAAGCTGTCTTGTGCTGCACCTCAGATATTCAGGGGTTCTTAAACTAAAGGCTATGAAATTGTTGTTGTTTTTTTAAAATATCTTGATGATTGAATGTTAATAGAATCGGTTTCCCTTTGTGATCCTGTGCATTTCATTTATTTATTTATTTTTGCATTTAAAACCAAGATTCTGAAAAGGAATCCATAGGTTTTACCAGACTGAAGGCCCAAGGGAACCATGACATACGTACAAAAGCTTAGGAACCTCTGCCCTGTGTCTTTTCTTCTCCTGGCTAAATATCCTTCCTTCTTTCACCAGTCCAGAGTGCCCTCATCTTTCTGGTTGCCCCTCATGTGGACAGACTTCCACTTATCAATGTCCTTCCTAAAATGGGATGCTCAGCATTGGACCTGAGTCTCCAGATGGGTCCTTTGTTCAGAGCAAGTCGTAGAGGGCAGTCTCTGCCCTCTTCCCTTTCTCCCCCTCCCCCTCCTTATAGACACTGTGCTTATTAATGGAGCCTAAGATTGAATGAGCATTTTGGACTGCTGGGTCACATTGTTGACTCATCTCAAGCTTGTAGGCATCGTGACATCTGGCAGACTCCCCCCAAGCTGGAGGCAGGGGATAAACTGGCAGACGTGGCCTGGATCACTGAGATCCAGAGATGATGCATCGTCCTTGCTCTGGCCAGCACATCTGATCCTTCCCTGACTAGTCCTGACCCTCAGCTACTGACACAGGAGCTCCAGAATTTGTTGGAACAATATTTCTTTTCTCTCTGTTGTCTTCAGGGATTTCAGTGTTATGGGGAGGCACCAGGTTCAGAATCTATAAAGCCAGGTTTCCTCGGGTTGGAAAGGGTCTGCCCTTCCCATGCCTCCCTGACTTTCATTCAGGAAGGTCTGTACTCTGAGCTATGTCTCTAGAGATGGCCATCCCTACTTGGGGCCCTGTTACTTCCCACCTATGATGATAGAACAGCTTTGTTCTCCCATTTTGTAGCTGGGGAAAGCTGAGGCCTCAAGAGAACAGCTTTTGAGGGAATAGGGAGGATGAGACTCAGGATCAGGGTCCCCGGTTCCTGGGCCCTCCCATGTGCCTGCCTTACCTACTACCCTTAGATTCTCATATAGGAGGAGCCATGTAGTAGGTGCTATATAAATGCTAGCTATTATAGGAGGGAGTAAAGCAGGCAGGATTAGAAGGGGGCATAGAGCCCATCTAATTCAATCTGTAGCTGAACTGGAAATCTCTCCACCTCACCAAAGGAGTGGTCACCCAACCTTTGCTTGAAGACACTTGGGGACTGGGCTCCCTGCGATAGCCCATTCCCCTCTGGGGTAGTTGCAGTTTTGAAATTCTTCCTTCAAATCCCAGCCTAAATCTGCCCTTCAGGTAGGTAACTACCTTCCTTTCCCATTGAGCCTGGTTGTACTCTCAGGGCCAAGGAGAGCAAAGTAACTCCCTCCATGATAGCCAGTCCAAGACTTGAACCCAGGGATGGGTTTCTCCCCGCTCCACCCCCAGACTGTTTCACCTTCCTTTCTTGTCTCTTCTGTTCCCCTCCTCACCCTGATGGCCTCCTCAGAATAGGGTCTAACTAGCCTGTGCTTATTTCTGTGACCCTGTCCTCTGAGAGCATCCCCAGCCTGACAACATACTTCCTAAAATGTGGCTCCCAGAACAGAAGCCTGTAGGACCTTGAACAATTAATATGGTGCCCAGAGGGCAGAGGTGGCTGGGTGTGTGGGAGGGGGAGCAAATTTGGAGGAGACCGGGTCTGAAAGAGGGCAGAGGAGCTGGACAGGCCCCTCCCAGTACTCCCCTAGGGTGGTGGAGAAAGTGGTGTGGGGGAAGGGGAGCCCGGACCTGAATGAAGAGCAGAGACGACAGCACCTCCCTCCAGGAACCAGCCTGGGAGGGGCTTCCTCAGCCCTGTTGCCAGGGGAAATGAGAGTCCCTCTCCTGTCACCATGGCAACATCTCCCCACTCTGGTACCCCCTTCCACTTCTGTGGAAATGTTAGGGATGGGGTGGAGGGCAGGGCCAAGGGTTACTTCTGGAGCCCAAAGTATCTGTGGTCCTGGTTATAGGCCACCCCAAAGCCTGGGGACACCTCCCTTTGGAAGGCTAGCCTCAGTGGAGCCAGGCTTAGTGCCCATGTGAAGAAGTCACCCTGCTTCCCCACCACTGCCATTGCACTCACAACCCAGCAGTCTCCATCCATCCCCATCTCCCTCTTACACCCCTCTTCCCTCCTTTTTCCTCCCCCCAATTCTCTCCTCCATGGGTCCCCTGTACCCTCATTCATCCTCACAATCCCCATCCTCTGTTCTTCTCCACCCTGTGTCCTTTCTCCTCCCAATCCCTTCTTCTGTCTCTTTTACCTACATCCAGACAGCTGGGGTCTAAGTTTAGCTAAGAGTGTGGGTTGGATCAGGGAGGGAGGGAGAGAGGAAGAAGACTGGGGATTGTCTAGTAGGGCCTCAGCTCTGTTACTGCCCCAGGGTCAGCTGGCTGGAGCTGGGGACAGGAATCGGGGTGGTGGAGTAAGCGAATGTGACTAAGGCTGACTGCCATCCTGGCTGCTTCAGGGACTGTGGGCACATTGCTCTTCTCTCTGACCCCCCAAACTTCAGCTCTATCCCTGTCTGGACCAATCTGGGTAACCCTGTTGGGGAAGGGGTTAATTAGCAGCAGGCTGATCCAGAGGAGGCCCAGAGGACCTTATGCCAAGGAGCCAGAAGGGAACCTGTGCTGTCTGTCTGGGCATGGAGGGCCTGTGTCCAGCAGGCCTCAGGGCCTTTTAAACTCACAGGGTTCAGAGCTAAGGAGACCTTAGAAATCACCTAGTCTGTCTTCCCTATTTTTTCACATGAGGAGCTTAAGACTGAGACACAGGAAGTGAGACTTACCTATAGTCGGACTGAAAGGGCAGGTCCATGTTCTAACCTCAAAGCTACTTTGCCAGGTGGTGCAGGTTTTATTATCCCCATTTGTAGTTAAGGAAACTGAGGCCTACAGAGGGAAAGCCACTTAGCCTACGTCATGTTAGATAACAGAATTAGGCTTCATATTCTTATAATGATCTAATCCAGTGTTCTTTCTACCAGCCCTGGCCCTGGGCAGTGCTTCTGTGGGAGTCTGTGGGATGCCTTTCAATCTTGCCGTCTTTTCCTCCACAGCCGCTGGCCAGATGGTGCCAACTGCAACCCAGAGATGCTGCCAAGATGCCAGAGAGTGCCTGGAAATTCCTTTTCTACTCCACAGCCTGGGGTTATAGCGCTTACCTGCTATTTGGCACCAACTATCCCTTTTTCCACGACCCACCTTCTGTCTTCTATGGTAGGGCCAGAGACAGTTTCCTCTTCCCTCTGTAAGGTCACCATCCCTCTCAGCCACTCCTCGACCCCCCACCCCCACCCCCACATCCTCGCACTGGCGTGCAAATGCATATGCACATACAGCCCTGTACTGAGTGAGTATATAGCAAGAGAAGGAAGGAAAGATGATGCTGTCCTTGGAGGGACGCCCTAATCTGGGGGGAGAGACACCTGCCCTGGGGGACCTCTTATATAAGGAGGCAGGACAGCTTCTGTTCCAGAGGGTCCCCCCTGCTCCGTGAGGGGGAGATAGGAGACACAACAGTAACAAAAGTATTCAGAGGATGCAGCTTAGAGCAGATTTTGTACATGGCATAGCTGGGGAGTTGGGTGAGAGGTAAGTCAGGGAAGGCTGCCTGCACGAGGTGAGGTTTTCTAGCAGAGACTGTGAAGGGAACTTCTGATTTTATCCTGGAAACTACGTAGGGGTCATCCTGTCAGTTCACAGACAGATCCCTGCTTGTATGTCTCAGGTAGGTGGGGGAGTGGGGACACTTGCAGCTTCTGGCCAGAAGTTGTGTGTGACCTTTAGGGAGTCCCTTCACTTCTCTGTGTCCTGGGGAAATTAAGCACAATGGGGTGAATCCTGCCTGATGAGCAGTTTTAATAAGACTTTGGTTGTGAAGGAGCTTTGGGAAGCGGATGTCAGAGAGGTGACTGTTCCTTTGCAGACTGGAAGCCAGGCATGGAGGTGCCCAGGGACATTGCCATGGCCTATCTGCTGCAGGGCGGCTTCTACGGGCATTCCATCTATGCTACCCTCTACATGGACGCCTGGCGAAAGGACTCGGTGGTCATGCTCTTGCATCATGTTGTTACCCTTATTCTGATCGTCTTCTCCTACGCTTTCAGGTCAGTGTCACCCTCTTCCCTATAGTACCGACCTCTGCCCTCACTGGGGTCTGTGGTGCCACAACATCGCAGTCCTCAGGCCTGTGAATTCAAGTTCCAGCTCTGCCATTGACGCGGTGTGACCTTGGGCACTTGGCCTCATTAAGCCTGAATTCACCCTCATATAAAATAGTTGGGATGGTGGAATTTGAGCAGACAGCTTCTAAAGTCCTAACTCTGACGTGCTGTGTTCTAATGGCCCTCACAGCTCTGACATCCCGGGTCCTAAGGGCCCTCCCAGCTCTGACATCCCGTGTCGTAAGGGCCCTCCCAGCCCTGACATTCTGTGTCCTAAGGGCCCTCCCAGCTCTGACATCCCGGGTCCTAAGGGCCCTCCCAGCTCTGACATCCCTGACCATCCCCACCCCACCAGGTACCACAACGTGGGCATCCTTGTTCTCTTCCTCCATGACATCAATGATGTCCAGCTAGAATTCACTAAGCTCAACGTCTACTTCAAGTTCCGAGGGGGCGTCTATCACCGGCTCAACGACCTCATGTCGGACGTGGGTTGTGTCAGCTTCAGCCTCAGCTGGTGAGTGGGGCCCTGGCTGCGCTGGAGGTTGGCCAGGCCAGGCAGGTGCCCCGCGGGCGGTGGGAGGACTTGTGGGCCAAAGGCTTCCTCCCCTCCCTTCCCTCTTGCTTGTTCAGCCGTGGGACGTCAGGTGGGTTGCTTCAGCCGCCTGGCTTCCCTGACCCTCCTCCCGTCTGTGCTCTCGGCCTTCCCCCCCAAGGTTCTGGTTCCGACTCTATTGGTTTCCCCTCAAAGTGCTGTATGCCACGTGTCACTGCAGCCTGCTCTCCGTCCCCGACATCCCCTTCTACTTCTTCTTCAATGCCCTGCTGCTCACCCTCTTGCTCATGAATATCTACTGGTTTCTGGTGAGCCTTGGGGGAGGGTGGGTCTGGCTCCAGCTGGGGCCAAGGGGAGGAGAAGGGCCGTGGGGGGCAGGGGAATGGGTGAGCCATCTTTCGGGGACAGGGCAGCCAAGGATAGGGCAATGGTAACACTTCTTCAGAAGCCTGACCGTCATTTTACATATAGAGAATTATATATTCACATGTAAAATAAAAATGCTGTTATCTGATGTAAATTCTAGCCATATATAGTATTTAAACATTAAGAATAAAAAAGTATCTAAATGCTCTTATGTAATTTATATAGTACTTTAGTGCTTGGCACCTAGTAAATGTCAGCTGTCATTGCTGTTATTATCATCTCATTCGCCCCTCCCAACAGCCCTGGGAGGGAGATCTCTTATTGTCCCCTTTTTATAAATGAGGAAGCAGAGGCAGACAGATGCTAAGTGACTTGCTCGGAGTCACACAGCGAAGAAATGTCCGAGGAATGATTTGAACTCAGGTTTTCCTGACTCTGGGCCCAGTGCGCCATTAACTGCACCGCCTGGCCGTTGCTCTGTTTTTCTGACAATAGTACAATTGAGAGGTAAAAGGCACCTGCTAGTAGAGAGGTAGGGGTGGTGTAGTGAGTGGGGAGAGTGCTGAGTTCAAATCTCATCTTTGAAGCCGGCTACCGCTTAGAAGCTTTCTGAGCCTCAGTTTTCTTATCTGTGAAATGGAAATAATAATAGCACCCATCCCAGAGGATGGATGGGGTGGATCCAGCGGGATCATTCCTATAAAAGTACTTTGCTTTTGAGCAGCATAAGTGTCAATCATTCTGATTGCTCACCAGTAGGAGTGAAGCCCAAAGGAAGAAAGGGTAACCTCAGGTCACGCAGCTAATAAGAATAACAGCTAACGTGTATGTAGCATTTACTACGTGCCAGGCACTGGGATAATCAGTTTACAATTATTATCTCACTTGATTGGCACAACAGCCCTGGGAGGGAGGTGCTGTTATTATCCCCATTTTATGGATGAGGAAACTGAGGAAAACAGAGGGTAAGGGACTTGGCAAAGGTCACAGCTGCTAATGCCTGAGGCTGGATTTTAGACTCTAAGCCTAGCACCCAGTGCACCATGGTGCCCCCTAGCGAGTGGCAGAGCCAAGATTTGAACCCACGGCTCCTCACTCCAAATCCAGTTCATTGCTACCTGTGAATAACATTGGTTCACATTTTCTTAGACCTCTAGGGTTAACAAAGCCCTGCGATGTAGGCATTACAAGACCACTTTACAGATAAGGAAATGGAGGGTTGGTCCGTGGTTCCACAGCTAGTAAATAGCGGGAGAGGATTTGAACCCAGGGCACAGCAGGGGAAGCTTGGGGACCTGGCACTCAGGATGTCCTGTGGCTAAGCCTGTCAAAGGCTAGGCTCCAAAAATGCATGCTCCTTCAGAGAGGCCTGGCTTGGGAGGTGTGGAGACTGGGGTAGGAGGCCTGGCTCTCACACTCAGCAGCTAGCTGGGTGAACCAGGGGTGGGGACCTGCAGCCTCCAGGCCACAGGTGGTCCTCTAGGTCCTCAAGTGTGGCCCTTTGCATCCAAACTTCATAGAACAAATCCCTTTAATAAAAGGATTTGTTCTGTTAAACTCGGACTCAGTTAAAAAGGCTGCACCCAAGGACCTAGAGGGCCCTACCCCTGGCTGAGAATATGGTAGCCTCAGTTTCTCCATCTATCAGATGGGGGGGAAATAATCCTGGCCTTGTTTCCCTCCTAGGGTAATGTTTTAAGTAAGTGAATTTGTCTCTTTTGTTTTTATATAACTTTCATTTCTACTATTTTCTGCCTCCCTCTTCTCCCCTCCTCCCTTCAGTGACTCTTCCCTTGTGACAGAGACAGTTTTACAAAAGCATCCTTTAGCATCTGTAAATGGAGGAAGGAAGGTACTTTTTCTCTTCTGTGCCCAAAGTTCCAAGGGCTATTTTCAACTCAGTAGGGATTCGATAAGCGCTGTATGCCGGGGACTGGGGTTACAGAGGCAGAAATGAAGCAGGTCCTGCCCTCAAGGTGCTTCTGTACAGTATACTATGGCCATCAGTCTTGAAGGGGGAGGAAAGAGCCCTGAAGGTGGGGGCCGGGAGGGGGAAGAAGGGCCTGGGAAAGGCTTCGTGCGGAAGGTGGACTTGGAGCTGAGGCTTCTAAGAGGCCGGGGAGGCCAGGAGGCAGAGGTGTGGAGGGAGAGTCTCTGCCCTCATGGGGCCAGCCAGAAGGCTGGGGTCTTTAGAAGCTAGAGGCCTTTCTGTTCGCTCCTGGAGGTAATAGGGAGACTCGCAGCTGACCGAGTAGCCAGTGAGGAGACTTTTGGCAGCTGAGCGGCAGGCAGGCCTCCCCCCCCCGTCCTGCAGGCTAGGGCTGGAGACCCCAGTGAAGTGGTCTCCTCCGAATCGGAGGAGGTGTTGTTAACAACAAGACCAGGCGACACATTGGAGATGCCCCAACGATGATGGGGAAGTTGAGAAGAGGGGAGGGTTTGGGTAGAAAGATGACGAGGGCGGTTTTGGGCACGTTGGCCTTAAGCTGTCAGTGGGACCCACAGTTTAAGATGCCCAATGGGTGGCTGGAGATGGGAGATGAGGACTCTGAGCAGAGGTAGGAGGAGAAGCAGTGGGGCCAGTTGGGGAGGGACCTGCAGTTAGAACGGCCAAGCACAATGAGGACTGAAAAAAGGCTGCTGGCTTGGCAGCTGAGATCATCGATAGCTTTGGAGAGAGGCAGTTCAGTGGGGTGGTGAGGCTGGAAGCCAGCTTGTCAGGGATTAAGAAGAGAGCGAGAAGAAGGAGAAGGGAAGTGGCAGCAGATTCTAGAGGAATCTTAAAAGAATTGGGCCATAGATAGGATGATAACTAGTGGGGGTGGTTGGGTCAGATAAAGGGGATGAGACATGTCGGCCAGAGACCTACTCTGTGAGGTCAGAATGCCAGGCTTATTATTCCCATTTGACATATAGGGAAACTGAGGCTGTGAGAGGGAGCAGTCAGCCGCAGACTGGGTTGCACAGTGAGCCAAGCACAGGGCTAGGGGCTGAGGTCCTGGCTCTTAAATGAGCACCTCTCTGGGTTGTCTCTCTCTTGGCCGTGGGAGACAGCTCCCAAGGCTGCCTGGGGGGCCACACTCCCCCCCCCCCATTCAGGGAACCCCCAGGACCTGACTGTAAAGGATGGGGAGGAATTGGGGGGAGGCCACTCCAGGCTTGCAGAGGGCTAAAGCAGAGGAAGACAGGAGGGGCCTGAATTGTAGAATAACTGAGCTGGAAAGGAGCTCCGAGGCCCTGTGCCTGAGGCTGAACTGTAACAGGAGTCACCTTACCTACCATACATAGCTCCAGCTAGGCGTCATGCAGCCTTTCTTGAACACCTGTGCTGACAGGGAACTCACTGCCTGTCGAGACAGCCCATTTTACTTTTGAACAAGCCCAAATCAGTCGCTAATCACCTCAGTCCCAACTCCAGGTTTCCCATCGCTGCTATTTCTCCCCCATGGGGTCAAGGAGAATAAGTCTGATCCCTTCGGGGCCACTAGGTAGTGCAGTGTGTAAGCTGGCCTTGGAGCCAGGAAGACCTGAGTTCAAATGCTGCCTCAGCTTACTGTGTGATCCTGGGCAAGTACCATAACCTCTCTGTGTGTCACCTGTAAAATGGGGGTTAGTCACAGCACCTGCCTCCCAGGGCTGTTGTGAAGATCACAATGATAAATGAGATAATAGACAGAAGCAGAACCATTAGCGTGCTATCTGAATGCTTTCATTGTAAACACTGTTATTAGTATCTGAGTCTGTTACTGGGGCAGCCGGGCAGTGCAGTGCACAGGGGATCGGGCCTGAAGTCAGGAAGACTCATCTTCCTGAGTCAGATCCAGCCTCAGGCACTCGCTATTTGCCTCAGTTTCCTCATCTGTAAAATGAGCTAGAGAAGGAAGTGGCGAAGCACTCCAGCATATCTGCCCAAAAAGCCCCACATGGGGTCATGAAGAGTCAGACGTGACTGAACGAGTGACGGCTGAATGCCAGGATGAGTCAGGTTAGGATCCCAGGGTCAGAGCCAGAGGTCTTTCCCCACATTCTTCATCTTACAGGAAACTAAGGCCAAGAGAAGAGAAAGAGGGCTAGGGGGAGTCATTGAAGTCTGTCCAGGGGGAGAGGAAAGGGGCTTTCAGGAAGGCAGGAGTCAGGGTCCTGTATTACCTGTCGCCTAAAGGTTTCCTGTGAGTAGAATCAAGGGCTAAGGGAGTAGAGGAGGGAAGGAAGCATTTCTATAGTGCCTACTGTGTGCCAGGCAAATACAATAATACATGTATCATATAAATATTTAATCATATTTGCTAAATGCTCTACAAATGGTATCTCGTTGATTCTTCACAACAAAGGAGGGAGTGCTATTATTAGCCCCATTTTACAGGTGAGGAAACTGAGGCAAACAGGAGCAGTGATTGGCCCAGGGTCACACAGCTATGTGTCCGCGGTCACATTTGAACTCGGGTTTTTTTGGACTTCTGGCCCACCAGCTGCTCCTCGGGGCCTGCCTTGGACACCAGAAGATGCCTCTGACACCCACTAACCTGTGGAACCCTGGGCCAACTCAAAGAGTTAGTTTCTGCGGTGGGGTTTCCCCACGCCCTGAAATCCCAGATTCTGAGCCCCGCCCCCCATGGTGTGGGAGGCCACGGGATGGAGGAGGGATGCTGGGGTGAGTTTCATCTTTGCGCCCTTGTCTGTCTCTGCCCTTCCCCAGTACATAGTGGTGTTTGCTACCAAGGTGCTGACGGGCCAGGTCCGGGAGGTGAGCGACGTGCGGGAGTATGATGAGGCCGATGAGGGCCTCCGGACCCTGCCCTCTGGGAAAGAGGGCAACCCCCCTACCCCCAAGCCCTGGAAAGAAGAGTGAGTGACGATGGCCCCCTCCGACCGGGGCAGGATGGGAAGGAAATTGGGGCTGGGGGCGGGCCCAGGCGGGAAGAGTGGGGGAGGAGCTCTGATCCCCCTTTGTCTTTGTCCCCCTCCAGAAAGCCTTTGAGGAATGGTTTGGTGAAGGACAAGCGCTTCTGAGGGGCTGCAGACCCCTGGGGACCCCCCCCTCCCTCCAGTTCCCATCTAGTGCCCCCTTCCCCTTATCGGGCCCCTCCCCGCTCCAAAACCCCAGAGCCCACTGCCCATCCCCGGCTTGTCCCCAGGCACTTTGGGGATGGGGACTCTATTTTGGGGACTGGACCAATTGAGGGGGAAGGGGAGATTTTTCCCCCACCCCACCTTAATCCCACCTCCGGGAATTCGTGAGGCGGCATCCGCTGGCGGCTTTGAGGGCAGGAAGGTCCCCTGGAGTGTGGAATTGGGAGCAAGGAGACGGTGACCTTTTCCCCGCCCCCCTCCTCTCACCAGCCTTGTGAGCAAACTGCCCCCCACCCCGCCTTCTGAGCAGGAAAGGGTTAAGGGGTGAAGCGCTCTCGCACCTCCCTGCCCAATGGTGGGCCAAGCCCCTCCTGCCTTCGCCCCGGGGTGCCAGCAGCCCCCAGGGATGCCCGGGGCTATAAGGCAGCCCAGAGCAGGAGCTTGGACAGCGGCCCGCCCTCCGTCCTGTGGCTTTGTGGAAGATGCGGTGTCTGCAGCTTCTCTCCCCTCTGCCCTGGCTCCTGCTCCTTCCCCTTCTCCTGCCCTTGCCCCAACCTGGTTTGACCCAACCCCCCGTCTGGCACCCTCTCACCCCAAGCCAGTGCCCTGCTCCAGACCCTGGGGCTGAGTCCGCGCCCAGGGCCCCCTCCCACCCGTCCCGTCCCCTCAGTCATGTGGCGGCTCTTCCGAAGGGGCCCAGAGGCTGCAGAGACCCAAGGGTCTGAGAGCACAGGGCCAGAAATGCCCCAGGAGCCCCAGCCCCTGCCCTGCCACGTGGAGGAGCTGGGAGTCCCCGGGAACATCGTTCGGCACGTCCTCGATGGCGGTAAATTAGGGGGCATGCGGGATGTGTCCACTTCCACCGCCCCAGTCCCCGACTGGGAGGGAAGGACGCTGCATACTAGGGAGTTGGGATTAAGAAGGCCAGCCCCCGCCTGGGCTGCCTCAATTCCCCCAATCTACTAGGGGGAGGGGTATTCTATCTGTTCTTTGGGGCGGGGAGGGGACCTGGCTTCACTGCCCCCTCCCTGTTCACAACACCGGAGGTCCTGGACCTCCTAGGCCAGCTCTTCCATCCCTTTCCTTTCCATCTGGGGAGCGGGGATCCCAAGGACAGCATTGGGTTTGGGTCAGTATCTGCTGTCCCTTCCTCCAGGGCAAAGACTCTCCCTTCCCTGCAAGGAAGAGAGGGAGCCAGGAAGCAATTCACCTTGTAAGTGGCCCTGGGAACAGCTTGAATCCCGGGCTTCCTGACCTATTTTCATTTTCACTCCAGGGCCACTGCCCCATACAGAAATTAAGTAGGAAGTTGCTTCCTTGTAACTTGAGCCCGATACTATTTCTGACCATTGGGGGCCATCCATGCATAATAATCGCCCCTCACATCAGTCCAAGGTCACAGGGCCAACCTGAACCCACTTCTTATGACTCCAATTAGTTTATGGAAGATCTCTGAATGGTGGCTAGCTTCTGAGGATGGGGAGGTGGGCAAGGGTGATTGGGAGCTCTGCAGAGCTTTCCCCAGCCTCACCTAATACTTTGGCCCGTAGGTGCCTCTGCCCCACCAGAGCCAGCCTTGGGCTCCCTATGCCTGGAGAAGCCCCTTTTCTTCAATCTTTCGTTCCTAGACCCTAAGGAGCAGCTGACACTAGTCCGCCTGGAATTGAACTTTGGTGCCCCTGGAAACCTTGCCCCTGCCCAGAACTGGGAGCTGAGCCTGTCCTATGCCCAGGGCCTCCGGCTGTGGGGTCAGCCCCTGCACTGGCACCAGCGAGAGGTCCTGCTGAGGCGGACAGTGCCCACGTTGCATGATCCCCTCTACTTTGACATGCTGGCCTTGGGCCAGTTGGGGAATTCCACCTTCCCCCAGAACCTGAGCCTAGTATTGGAAATGTTGCCTGGTGGAGACAGTGACCTGCCTCAAGGATTGTGTACCAAACTGGGGCATTCTCTAGAGGCGTCCCTGTTGGTGGTGACACTTGACCCACAGCTATGCCAGCCCACCTCCAGGAAGCGCCGAGCAACCTACCTGGCCCCTCCGGACAGCCCCGACCCTCCCTGTAAGGCTCGACGGCTCTACATCAATTTCCGGGAAGTGGGCTGGCACAATTGGATCATTGCCCCCCGAGGCTTCATGGCCAATTACTGTCAAGGGCACTGCTTTTTCCCCACTGCCACCAAGATCTCCAGTTTGAACCACGCTGTCATGCAATCCCTGATGCATTCAGTGGCTCCAGCCACAACACCCCCACCCTGCTGTGTCCCCGTGAAGCTGTCACCCATCTCTGTGCTCTTTTATGACAACAGTGATAATGTGGTCCTTCGGCACTATGAAGACATGGTGGTTGATGAGTGTGGGTGCCGATGATGGGAGCCTGGGTTCCCAAGGGCAAGGAAGAGCACCTGGAGTCCCTCCCTTCCTGCCAGAGGGGATCCCCTAGAGGGGAATCTGGTGTGTTCGGGCCTGCCCCCTGTGTGTATCCTTAAAACCTGACTAATAAAACTACTGGGTTTGGTTTGGTTTGACTTAGCCTGAAGACTTTTTGGAGTCGAGCTTTTCAGTTCATAAAACCTAAGGTACCTTAGGGCTCTCAAGAGTGACCTGCCTCCAGGTGAACCACTGGTTAACTCTCTTCCAGCGTTCATTTGACCCATACCCCACTCCCTCCCTGGTGGGGAGGAAGGCTGGAGACCAAGGCAGACCCAGACCCAATCCTCTTAACACAATCAGGGGAAGGCAAAAGGTTCTCACAATGTGATGCTTGTTCTCTCCTGTGCCTGGAAGCCCCCTGGGGAAAGGTCTGCAGAGGCCAGGTGAAAGGCTGTGGGAAACCAGAGGGCAGAGAAGAATCAATATTTGGCCCCTCTGACTCCCAGGGGTTAGGCAGGTGTGTTTTCTTATCTTCAATCTGATGGAAGAGCTGGAATTGCCCTTAGAAGTCATCTAAACCAGCCCTCCTGCCCCCTCCCCTCTTAAGCAATGAAGACTTGCTGAAGCCACACAGGTAATCTCAAATGCCTGCCAAGCTGGGTTCCCAGCACCTGGGCTGGACAGCAGACAAAGATTGCAGTTTCCCTATCCCAGACTCAACTAACATACCTTTATTCTGCTTGGTCACATTGGGACTGTATTTTTGTGGTTGTATGTGCAAATCCTAATAACTTGTGCTTAATCGATCAATTCTATTGAAAGCAACTGGTTCTCCCAATGTTTGTTAAGGCTTGTAAATAGCTCTTAACATGGGGGATGACTGTTAATTGAATGGTTCAAGTCTGTGCCTCTGGTCTACTCTGGAAAACCCATCTTTTTAGAAAAGGAAGAAAAAATCCTGTGGGTGATTATAATTTAGGGACTCAAATAGTAGTAGCTGCTACTACTTTTAATCAATCACGAGTCGGTTACAAATTTTAAAAACAGCCCACTCGACTAGATCGATAGGGGAGGTGGGGAGAGGAACATTCAAGAGTTGAGTGAGTTTTGCTCCCAGACACAGGGGAAGAAAAAAGGACCTGAGCCTCTCTTCTCCCTTTCTAAAGTGCTCCCCCTTCTGGTCAGAAATGGTCTCTGCTCACACAACGAGATAAAAAGGGTTTGGACATGGGTATGGTCAGGAGTGGTAAAAGATGGAAGAGCTCTGTGAAGCTGGGCCACAACAAGCCCACATTTCCTGCCTCCCCTTCCCATTCATCTCAGGAGGAATTCACAGGAAGTCTGTCTAAGCCCAATATTCAAATGTAACCAGATTCTCTGCAGGGAGATAAACACTTCCTTTGAACCCAGAGGGAGGGGAATCAACCTTGGAAGCTTCTGCTCAACGCTTGCTTAACACTGAAATGGCCTTACAGCGCAGCTGGTTTTGCTGAGGCCCAAAAAGGAAAATACATCCGTCCAGAGTCACCGGTCATCAGCAACAGAGCAGAGTAACACCCCCATCTCCTAACCTCCCTGAATCAGCGTCCTTTCCAATAACCTCAAATGACCACTGCAGAAAGGCAGGGTGGGAAACACACCCAGCTAATTAACACGCTCGAAAACTCAGGGATTTACCCTGCCTGGCACAACTGCCTTACCTTCTTGTGAGCCCTAGATAAGTCAAGTGGTCCTCGGGCACTGGGAGCTTTGCTGACTACTTCCCTCTACAATGAATTCTAGCTCCAAGTATGAATGCAAGAGTGTTTTATTAATATTTTATTGATGGCAAACAGCTTAAAACAAACTGACCAAAAATCAAAAAGACACCAATGTTCATGGATTTATAAAACTCAGAGTAACTTGCTACAAAGAAAAAAATTAAAAGAAAAAAAGCCACAGAGCAGAGGCAAAAAGCATTCCAACCAGTGAAATAAGGGGGGGGGGGCTGGGCGGAACATTACCCAATGGATTGCATTGCAGAAAGGGTTACAGTTTAAACCTATTTCAAAACTCTATGCACTATGCAGCCTACCCAGAAGGAAAAAAAAATTTGAAAGCCTTTCGGCAATGTTAATAAATAAAGAGTCCATCTCACAGGAAGGAAGGTGGCCCATGTGTACCTGTTATCTGTACATTTTAGAAGTCTAAACTCTGGAGGCTTTTTTTCTTTTTAGGATAGAATAGCTGATTTACTTTTTAAAGAGTTGTACAGAGTAGAGGGGTACAGGGTGGACAGGGTGGGAGGGAGAGGGGTTTTGTGGTGGTGGGTTTTTTTTTTTGCCATCTGTATAAGTTTTGGGACAAAACCAAAATGGTGGTACTTCTTAGTGCCCTGGGTCTCGGGTCACCAGCACTGTTGTCCAGATAGGGATTTGGGGTGGAAATCTAATGACACTTGATCATTGATCTCTGAAAGGAAATAGGCAGGGGAAAAAGTCTTGGCAAACTACAGATGAAGGCAAATTTGCTTAAGTGGTAGGCTAGAAAATCTTAAAGACAGAAAGCAGAGGGGTTGACTTTCAAATTAAAAACAAAAACAAAAAGAAAACCTACTGCAGTTTATAGCATTTTAGTATACTGGCAGGAGGGGCTAATTTGGAAGTTCTCTAAATGATAAGTGAAATAATTTGCCCCCATCTTTCAGGCCAGAAACCCTTCATGCCCCTTGATCATAAAGCTAACTTAATTCTGGAAGGTTGTTTTTTTTTAAAATTATCTACATTTAGTTAAGTCACACTCTGCCGACCCTTGCCAATTAGGAGGTAGACTTCTTCCAAATTTAGAGTTTGACTGAACAGGAGGACAAGAAGTTGAATGTTCCCAGCACTCAGTGTTTCTAAAAAGGCTGCCAAGCCAAGTGATGGCCCCAGCAGTCCTGTTTGGAGTAGCCCCTATGAGCTGGGCAGAGCTTAGAAAGACTGGCCGGGTCATTTCAAGTGTGCTCTCTGACACGTCACCTCCAAATCGTGAGGATGCTGCATTGGTGCTCCCCACCTGGAGGGGGTCGGTCTCCAGGATTTCTTTCTTGGGCCTTGTTTGTGGTCGGTTTGTGTTTTTAAGGACTCCTCCAGCTACCTTTGGAAAGCAGGAAGTCACCAAAGAAGCCACCAGCTATTTAAAAGGCCACCTTCCAGCAACTGCCTGTTTGCCCGTAACGATTCCTTTCCTTTCTCAGCCCACTTCAGTAATGTCTTTGAGTCTTTACTTCAAAACCAATATAATCCCCAGGAGCCCCTACTTTTCCCCTTCCTCAGTAGGAGTGAACAGGGCAGGCAGCCTAGCATCTTCTCCTCCAGGACCACCGTGGCCTGGAGCCCCATCCCCTCATTAAGCGCACGGTTCATCTTACAGAAAAGGCTGGTTTTCACAGAGTAGAGTCCAGACAATAGCCTATGAAAAGCATAGAGAAAAATGTGAAAGCCTCCTCTGGCTGGACCCCATGGGGAATCAGGGCCTGGGCCCTGTTCCCTCATTGACTGTGATCCCTTGTAGGAAGAAGAGGCTGAATGAGGAAACTTTAAAATTCTCTGAAAGTTCTCTTCGAGGTTGGTGATTCTAATTTAGATTTTTAAAAATTTTCTGGTAAGCTTTTATCTCCCAGGTCCACCGCTAAGATTTCAGAGACAAACTTAAAAAAACAAAACAAAAAAAAAACAGTGCTCCTTTGAAAGAATCTCTCAAAAACAAACCAAAAATTTTTCTTTTACATGAAAAACCCTTTCAGAACACAGGCAACATGATGACACTGAGGTTTCAGAGCCAGTGTGAACAACAAACCCTGCATCTCAGAGTGGAGCTCTGGCCATCTGCTGCTGCCAAATGTGGCGGGTTCTGCCAACTGTAAGAAGGAATCTTGTCTCTGCTGCTAAAATGTGAACAGTTTGTTCTGCTAAAACATAGTCCCCTTAAAAAAAAATAACTCTGAGATGAGGGTTTGCCATCCCTCCTGCTCTGAACGGCGCTGCCCTGTTCACAAACCAGAGTATGGAATGAAGTGAGCCTTGCTGAAGGCCCTTCTCTCTTAGCTGATTGGGCTGGGGGAGCAGGGACTCAGCTGACCATTCATTCGGTCAGGGCGAGCTTCGGGGGAGCAGTCTGGCGGGCCGGGGGATGCTGAGACAGTCCCGCCTTCCCATGGCGGTGCAGCCAGTGCTCTGCTTCTCTCTCCTCTTCGGCCATTCTCCTCGTCTCAGTGTGCTAGCAGTGGTCTCTCTCTCTCTCTTTCTCTTGCTCCTTCCTCTCTTGTCTCCCCATTGGTTGGTTTCTCTCTCTTCTCTCTCCCCTGTTGCTCTCACACAGTGATGCTTCAGTTTTAGCAGTGGAAAACAGGTATCCATTTTATTTTATTTTTTTGTTACCCAGAATAAGATGCTGATGGACTAAGCTCCACATAAGCTTAGCTCTTCTTTCCTGACCTAGGAGGGGGAGACAGTGGGAAGAGTCAGAGTCAGGGCCACACTCTCAAGATCAGATTTAGACAGCACTTTCCATCAGATCTGAAAACCCCATGCTTTACTGCCTTGTACAGGACAGCAGTGGCTTCTCTACCCTGACTTCAGAGACCAGCCTGGTACAATTAGCAGGGCCTAGACTCTGCTTTGGCAGATCTCAGCTGGGGAGCAGGGACAGGGTCAAAAGAAAGAACAGAATAAATGGGGGGGGGCAGGATAGGATTAAGGGAAATAGAGTTAGTTTTTCACAACACGTCTACTATGGAAGTGTTTTGCCTAACTGCACAAGTATGGCCCATATTGACTTGCTTGCCTTTTCAATGAGGGTGGGAGGAAGGGAGAAAATTTGGAAGCCAGTTTTAAAAACACATGTTTAAAAAAAATGTTTCCACACGCAACTGGGAAATATGAAATACAGGAAATGAGGTACAGAAATCTATCCTGCCCTACAAGAAAATAGAAGGGGAAGGGGATAAGAGAAGGAGGAGGGGAGAGATAGAAGGGAGGGCAGATTAAGGGAAGGGGTATTCAGAATGCATGCCATCTTGGGGTGGGGGAGGGGCAAGATAGGGTGAAAATATGGAATTCAAAATCTTGTGGAAGTAAATGTTGAAAACTAAAAATAAATAAATTTATATTAAAATAAAATTAAATTAAAAAAA